ATATAAGAAGGTCGTTTTGTTCAAAATTAGTTATTTATTAAAAAAAAGGTTCTAAAAGCAAAACGCCATAACTTACATAACACTCCACCAAGTTGAATGATTGAAACACCATTTTAGGGTTGGCATTCGCTTAAAATCTAAAGTGTTGGAGCAAAATGTTCCAACAAAAAAAAAAATTATTTTTGGCGAGACGAAGTTCGCCGGCTACGCTAGTAGTATTTTATTTGCTAAAGGGCTGAGCCAAATTAATTTCAAGAGCAATAAAAAAATTTACTCATTTGATATCCAGTAGAATCTGAGCAAATGCATTTTTCAAATTAAATAAAAAAAATATTTCACGCAAAAGTAAACCTTTCCTTTTAGGAAACTCATACGCTTGGGAGAATTCAACGTTAAAACCGAGCCAGACTGTATTGAGGAGCCAGACTATCTGAACTGCGCGGACGCCGCATTGGACATTGGCTATGATCGGATTTTCGTACATCCCGAATATAATGAGCACTCTTTCAGCAAATTCCACGACGTTGCCTTAGTACGACTAAAGCATCCGGTGTCCTTTACACATTTCGTAATGCCCATTTGCCTGCCAAGTGAAACGGACGAAAGTCCATTTAAAGAGGGCGAAACGTTTTCGGTGTCTGGCTGGGGACGCACCGATTTATGTAAGTAACTTTTGGAATCTGCAAACCTTCGAATTGAACATTTTCCCTAATGAATAAGTATTTGTCTTTTGGTCTCTTTACCCCCGCCGAAAACTAGTCAATAAGTACTTCCGCAACATTCACAGTCCCATTAAACTGAAGCTCCGAATTCCATATGTGCAACGTGACAAATGCACCGACATTTTGTCAAAATTTGGCATCGAACTGGGCCCGAAACAGGTATGCGCTGGTGGCGAGTTCGCTAAGGATACATGCGCCGGCGACAGTGGTGCTCCGCTAATGTATTTTGATCGCAAATTCTCCCGTTGGGTTGCCTACGGCGTGGTGAGTTACGGATTCACGCGCTGCGGTATGGCCGGCCATCCGGCCGTATACACGGATATCTCTGCATACCTCGATTGGATACATGGTATAGTGACAGCCAAATGAAAAAAGTTACATATTTACATACATACATATGTAGATATAGAAGTACATACACTTGTAGTTAAATTAGAGGATTCGATTTGTACATACATACTCGTATATTCGTTAGTGGCTTTCGCTAAGGAGCATTATGTATTTATTATTTTTATGAATTTGAAAAAAATGGTGTTATTCGTGGAAAGAAGTAAGAAAACACAAATGTATTTATTTCAAATTAGATGTGCCAATATTTATTTATATAGCAAAAAACAGAAGTCTTTTATTTATAACGCAAACATGCTAATAATACACACATATCTACATTCATATGTCTATTAGGGTGTCCTTAAAACGCCACTCTTTCTTTGGAATCGCTTCATTAGTTCTCGTGCAATAAGCGAGTTCGTGATGCTCTAAAACTTACAACTACAACATTTGAGCATAACCTCCATAACGAAACGTAAGACGTATATTCTACGTCAAAAGTTTACTTCTACTATTTCGGTCAGATTGTAACCGTTAAATTAAGCCAAATATTTGGTTGGTCGAAAATAAAAGGCTTGGCCAAAGGACGAACAAGCCGTGAATCCTATTTAATTGAATTTCGTATAAATAGTTTCTAGGAATCAAAAATTCATAGTTTGTTTGGCATTGAATGTTTTGAATTAACAAGCGAATCAAAAACTATTTAGTTTAAAATCAGATCTCGCGAACGTTTTAAATCGAACAAAATGAGTAGTTCCTTCAGAAAAAAGGTTATTAAAAATCAACGCGAACTCTTAACCATCACAAATTTCCACGATATTATACTTAAGTTATGGGCTATAAGACTGAATACTCGATTTTTTTTTGAATTCGAATGATTTACTTGTAATTTTCCGTTCGGTGGAATATACTCCGAGGTTTGCCATTGCCTGCCGAGGGGCGACGTGATGGTGGGAAAAAACTTTACATGATGCCCGGCACAGGGATCGAACCCAGGCATTTCGGAGTGGTAGTACGCACCTCTTGCCAGTCAGCCACAGCGGTAACAGGTTACAATGAAACAAGATATGAACAAAACTCGTTTGTGAAGTCAAACTCTTCCTAAAGTGGGTGAAGTAGTTGCAAACTTTTTTTGCGACCCAGTTTAATGTGAGAACATTCGCCTGTATGTGTTTGCACGTGCTTGTGCAGTTCTGCCAGCGCTGCCCATGTCTGATCTAAAGTGATATTTCCACACGTTACATATTATCTGTTTAGTATAAGTGAACGAATATTTGACACTGCCAGTTCTACCCAACGACAGAACACTATGGCGGCTGAAATATTTTAATAAATTATGTGGAAAATATTTTCAGTAACGATACAGCTAAGTAAATAATTAGAAAGCAAGAACATGTGTATATACTTAGATATAAACACTCGTTACCCTGTGGGAATTTTCATAGTCGACTACTAAAATAGCCAACTTTTGGCCAACTTATTACGGCTAAATTTTAATTGGTTTCAAAGTCATGCAGGGCTCATCGAGGGGATATCTATGTATGCAAGATTGTTTCACAATTTTCGCTTTCGATAAAAATTTTTTGTTCAAAAAAAATAAATTTAAAACAATTACATACGTACAATGTTATTTTAATATTTATGTACACCATGCAAACCATTTTTTAAGAGTATTCTGAATTGTAGAGAAATTTTAAAAATCGTAAAGATCTCATCCGATTTTTTGCCGAATTTTCTAAAATGAAGTAAACTGTGGAAGAAAATCGGTAAAGCAATCAAAACTATGCTGCTATGTGAAGAATTTCTTGCAGAATTTTTTTCAAAATTTTCTTTATTTTTCGTACAAAAATTTATTTAAGCGTTCGTGTCAACCCCTTCATATAATTTTCTTTGAAGATTCGTAAAAAAAATCGTTAAAGAAATGAGATACTCCTAAAGATTTCGTTAAGATTTCGGGAATGATAATTAAAAACACCTATTTAGAGGTTTTAATACATATTAACTAAAAAGTGCAGGTAAAAACCGAGAGTACTAAAAATATTCTACTAATTGGCACACTACTAGTGACTTATTAATACCCGGTTTGTAGTTAACTGAAAACAAACTGACTTTTTTGCGACATCATCATGTAAAAGTAGTCAGTTGAAAGCAACGTAAAGTAGTCGAGGTGTACTCACCCACCCTTAGTTGAAAAATGCGTTTATAGTTAGTTGAGTTCCCTACAGGGTATCGAACGAGTACATATACATACATACATATGTAAGTACATATCTACATATATATATAGCGTTTAAAGACATTCCGCATTCAAAGTTTAGAGCAATAACACAGGTCCACAAAATAAAATCGACGAAAGGCTCCTTTGCCCAAACCTGTTCTGTTATATGTTTTTGTGGTCGCTGAATACGAATCGGAAGTTTTGCTCCATCACGTCTGGATTTTTTTCTAACCTCAAAAAACAACTCGGATTTTACGTGACAGGGAACAGACTAGGTTTGGTCAAAATAACCTTTCATCGATTTTTTTTTGTGGACTATGAAATTTGATGTGCAAGTTTGGGGTTAAAAGCTTATAAATACTAAGTACATACGTATGTATGTATGTATGTGCAGTAGAAAAATAACCTGGACTATTTGAAAGCTTAATCCGCAATAATTTTAGCTTTGAAAAACTGTCTTCATTTGAAAACCCCTTATGAGTGAAAGGGAAAGTAAGAGTGTTGGAAATTTCTTTCCCTCTTACTACTTGAGCGAAGAATAGCTGAAAGTTGGCATTTGTGCACCGAAAGCGAAAACATATGAATTCGTCTTGGGTATATTTTATATATTTTTTTATTTGTCACAAAAAAAA